CAATTTACAAGGCAGCGCCAGAAGCGCCGAAAGCAGGTCCTATGACAGGACAGTCAACATGGGTGAAGAGTCCATCGCCAAGGAAGACAGAGCTCAGGAAGATGAGAGCAGAAGCAGCCAAAAGAAGAGTGGATTTGAAGAAGCAAGTTGAGGAAGAGCTCAACGAAAGGTTGAGGAAAGCGGAAGAAGAGGATGAGGCGAGGGTCAACGCAGAGGAAGAAAAGCATGAAAGTGTTAAAGAAGGAGCTGAGAGGATCGGAGGAAAAGCCAGAGGCAGTTCGTTTGAGGACTACAAGAAGAAAAAGCATTTGCAAGGTGAAAGAGAAGTACAACAGGAAGCAAGCAGCAGAGGCAGCAGCAGAGGAGAAGGAAAGAAATGCGGAACGAGCAAGAGCAAGAGCCAGAGCAGTTCTTGAAACAGCAGCTGACGCAGAGGAAGAACGCCAAAGGAAGGAAAGACTTAGGAAAGTCAATCAGGAGAACAAGCTCAAATCACAGAACGCAAAAGCAAAGGAAGAGGACATGAATTAACCCGTACGACCCAAGTGAGTGGCTGGAGTTCATTGAGGATGGCCATGTCTATGACTACAACACGGTTACAAAAGGGAAGATTTGGAGAGGAAAAGAAGCAACCTACAAGCTTCAGAAAGGAACAGGAAAGTTTGACACAGGACAGAAAAGAGGTGAAAAAGAAGGAAATGCAACAGTTGAAGAGGTTGAGATTGGAGCTTGAGGAGACAAAGAAGAAAGAGAAAGCAAATGAGGAAAAGAAAACAATCAAGGAGGAAAGTGAAGAAGCCACAGGAAGCACAGAAGGAAGAGGAGGAAAGCCAAAGTCCAAAGGAGGAAGAGTCAAAGGCAGACCAGACAGAGTTCTCGGAATGGAACGGCGAGATGTACAATTGGTGGAAGAATTCCAGGAATGAATGGTTTTGGCAGGACCAAGATCCAACAAAGTGGACAAAGTTCACAGGAACCTTCCGGTGATCAAGAAGGAAGCTGGAAAGGAAAGACCTGGACGGCGCAATGGTCCAGGAAATCTTCTACAACGACCACTACTACCAGAGCATGTATAGAAGGAATGTAGTGTGTTGTTTCTTTTGTTTTTAAGGAAAGAAGTGCAGTGCATATCCAAAGCATTATAGGATGTTGTACAAACGTTCTCTGTAGAGGGATAATGTTTTCTTGAGTGACGTGTATGATGGAGTTACACATTTACCGCTCCAAGAGGAAAATGTAGTTAATGCAAAAGTCCCTTCAAGATCTACAATATCCTTTCAGACACTTCTAAGGCGGGGTGTTAAACATTGCTGCTTTGCAAGTGTTACAGTGCAGAATGGCTTACATGAGCAGGAAAGCATGTACTATGCAATGTATAGGGACTACACACCCAAGGACACTTCGTAGTGCCAAAGGAGCAAGGTGTCTTCAGTGAAATGCAAAGGAAAGCCTTATTCCTGTCGGAGAAATAGAAGTTGGATTTTGGCATATCAAAATGTTGAACTCGCCTTAAACCCCATTTTCGGCGACAAAATGAGCCTTCTAATCCGCGGCTGATTGCGGACTGTGTACCTAGTAGTAGTAGTAGTAGTTGTTGTTGTTGTTGTTGTAGTACTACTAGTAGTACTAGTAGTAGTAGTAGTAGTAGTTGTTGTTGTCGTAGTCGTAGTAGTAGTTGTTGTCGCCGTAGTAGTTGCATTAAGCATAGTAGGAACGCAGTCATGGTCGTTGTTGTGACTTCTCAGTTTTGAAAGTGTTGAGATGTAGCTCTTCGTGTGTCTGCGGTCAGCGAACGCCAGCAACATCACCGAGGGGATGTTGCGGTCTCAAGAAAATTCGATAGAGAGATGATTGCAAGACCGCGTTTGGATGATGCTACACAGCGGTTCCCGCAACATTGGCAACGTCTCGGGCTCCGATGCCAAGAGCACGGCAGCTGAACATATTTGGCTTTGGAGAGCTGCTCTGGCTTGCAGATTCCAGCGTCCCGCGAAACAGTGTGTGTGGGAATTGTCCATGTATGTCCAGGTGACAGCACAGCACTACGATAAGCTGGCTGCGAAGCAGCGTGGCTCTTAATCATGCGGACCCAAACTGCAACATACCTCCGAAATTTTTTTGAAACTATACTAAACTGCGATATGGGCACTGGTGATTGTATATCTTGGAGCTCGTCAGAGCTGACCAGATTTTGAATATAAGAAGGGGGAACTCTTCGGGAAACCAGTCAAGACCCATCTCAAGGTGTAATGGCCGTCCTGAAGCGCTGGCTTGAGGCCCCAAATTTTTTGAGTCGTCGTCACTTCTGTAAACGGAGGATGCCACACATTGACCCATGAGAGTATTCACAAAAGAAGGATTGAGTCTCCAGAAGGTCCGGGCCTTGAAGCTCCAGGTGTTGATGCTAAAATGCCCATGGCCGGTTGTGAGGTCAGCAGTACCTGACTGACATGACCTTTTGACAGGCTCATGCCTGGGAACACAGGCTGCAACTGGGATTTGTGGAGTAGATTGCAAAGGTTCTGCCAGGTTGCAACACCTCTGCCGTGAAATCCTTGATAGCAGCTTTTGTGCCAAGGAGCATACCAGGTATAACATGCTTAATCCAATCAATTCCAACGTGAGCTGTCAAAAGTAAGGCAACGACGGAGGGTGCTGGCTCTGGTCTTTTTTCTTGCAGCCGCAGGCGCTTCATGATGGAATCCTTCGCTGAGGCTCTGGTCTCATTTGTGCATATGCCTTGAGCGAGTGATGCTGGAAGGTGGTCAAGAAGGACACGCGCCATGATGCCCTGTGGGACCAGATGGCAGGGCTTCTGACACATCAGCTCAGAGATTCGCAAGATTGCTTCACACAGGTCAACATCCACCACGACTATTAGGAGTGCGAAAGCTGCAGGCGTGCTACAAGCGTATGGGCTCTGAGCAGCTTGGGGGTGATGCAGCAGGTACCTGGATCCTGCCACCAAGAGGCCTTCCCACACGGCATGGTCGCAAGATGTTTCTGTGCAAGTCAAGGTGGGTGGAGGAAAAGTTGTGGATCACTCGGAAGGGCGCGTTGAGAGCTCAGAGTGTCTCTTGCTCAGCGGCCGTCCCAGTGACTCACACGCTGTTTACAAGGACAAGTGCCAAAGCCGGACAGCTGGGCATCATCCCTGGTAGCCCCCACACTGCAAGAGGAAAATTAAGTAGGACTTGAGTGCTGCATGCACATGACATCCTGAGGCACAGGCACTGGCTCCTACATAGTGCCTGCTGGCGGTGCGCCGTGCTGGGGGCTTCAGCCCTTGTCCGACATGTTTTTTTTGGCATTCTATGTCCTTGCAAGGTCTTGCTCACATGGGGCTGGCCGATCTATGTCCAGGGCTGCTGCTTTCAGGCTTGCTGCGTTTTGAGTGGACCCAAGAGCCCGTAGGATGCCGCAAGAGTCCAGCAAACAAGGAACATTGACCCCAAGAGCTTTGCTGGGCACATGCTCGAGCGTGGCACTCCTCTTTCGGACGGGACCTGGAGTTTGTCAAGCAGTTGGGCATCTTGCAAGGTTTGGGACGTGAAGTTTGCAGACAAGGTTCGAGATGCGGCCAAGAAGCTCGGCAGCTGAGGACTGGAAAAACACTCCAGAAGCTGGCATTCACCCATGGCCCACAAATCGCCAAATGTACAGCCCACTGCAATGCAACAGTATGCAAAACACGTCATGATGCTTTGGCGCAGACAGGACCTCAACACCGTGATACAAAACCAGCAGGATCTCATCGAGGCACCGTGTTCTTTGAGCTTATTACTGCTGATGGTAACTGAAGCTTCTCATTTTGGGGAACATGAAAGTGGATTTGCTGGATCAGGTTGTGCACGACCTACAGCAGATGCCGCAGTTGATTTTGCCTCATGATTGCAGATGCCCCTCCTGAACAGCGTCTAACTTGGGGAGTTGTCTGCTGGGCTCCAGGACAGTCACAGCATGTGCCTGTTGCGCGTTGTGGTGAGATGGCGGCAGCAGTCAGCAGTGGGGTGCGTTTGCTGTGGCACGGCTTGTCTTGGAGCCTTCAGCCCAGGCCCCTCATCAACATGAAGGGCTGGTGAGCCTTACCATTCCGTAGCCATGTTCGGGACCTGGACCTTCTGATCAAGGCAAAGTGTCAAGTACAGCTTGAGAAGACTCTGACACAGCCCAGGTGAGCTTCTGCTTCTGTGAGCGCCGCTCCACTGGCTTGAAGGTTTCGCAGGATAGTCCTTGGTTCAGCCAGTGAAAATCGTGCGGTGAGTACCCTCCACATGTTGGACCACCTTCTGCACTCTGTGCCAGCAAGGGCTGGGCTTGATGGGATGGCAGCTTTGGTTCAAGTAAGCAATTAGATAACACACCAGCAAGCAGAGTCAGCAGTACCTTCCTATAGAAGGAGTCCAGGCTGTCGCAAGTTTTCATGCAGTTGAGATCACGAGAGTACAACAGGGGCCATGCAATCATATTGAAGTTTCGTACGCCTCCAGAATGGCACACGGAGCCGGGGCCAACGCGGCCTAAAAGACTCAGGCGGAAAGGTTTGAAAGAAACGTGAATCCAGAGTGTCCCCTCACACCCTGCTGATGTTCCTAGGCCCCTTCCCCTCCACCCCACAAACTGCCATTTACTCCAATCCACGAGGAGACATGGCGAAGAGGAAAGCGGCTGAGTTTGACAGCGCATCCTCAAGCAGCCTTCCCAAGGAAGAGGACTATCTTCGGACAACTTTCCCAGCAGAGAGTGGATGCGCAAATGCCACCCTGGAGCCTAGCGGACAAAAGAACTGGAAGAGTGACAAGTGTGGCCTCACGTTGAGGTTTGATCCGAGCAGGCACTTGTGGTGGCCGCGTGGTAAAGATGGTCACAGTCTTGCAGGTACCAAAGACTTCAAGACATGGCACGCTCCCAACCAGAAGCCCTTCGAGGCTCTCGTGACCATCCTAGACTTGGAATTTAGACAGAGAAAGCCAGCAGCCCTTGCGGTTGCTCCTCCGGAAATGTGTACATGCACCTGCGGCGATTCGAACCGTCCAGGGACTATTCCTATCTTGCCTAAGGAATCTTCGCGAAGCTCCCAGCCTAGATCAGAGGGCCAAGCAAAGCGCAGCCTTCCCAGCCCTCTCAATCTCAGGCCAAAAGCTCAGCAGCCCCAACCCCCCAGCATGGAAGACGAGCCCAAGCGCTTTCAGATGGCATATGACATGGGCACAGTGCGGAGATATTACCACCAGGTTCACAAGAAGGAAAGCGAAACTCCTCCGGCAGTTAGAGAGGACGAAGAGTGCGACCTTAAAGTAATCTATGAGATCCTCAGTAAGGAGGGCTACAAGAACCAGGCGAAGCTTCGAACGACGATCTGGTGATGTCGTCTTTGACTTTGGCGCCCACCTTGGCGCGGCTGCCAAATGGTTCCTTGAGCCGCGCCCTGTTGCTGTGAGCAGAGTGGATTGCTACGAGCCAGGATCAACTTACAGCTTGCTGCAACGCAACTTCCAGAACGACAGTCGGGCCACGCTTCATCAGTGTGCGGTCATGTTTGGAGAGATGTCAGCGGTGCACGGCAGCGTCAACTTGAGCGGCATAGCGAAAGTGGGAGTGCACACACGCGAAGAGGGCTGTAAGCATGGTGCCTTGCGGAGCTCAGGCGCTTGACAAGGTGGAGTGGATCCAGCGTCCGTGAACAAGTTACACCAGCAGTGGATTTTGGGCAGCAAAAGTGCCATCCATGAAGTACATCATCGGCGTCATCGCGGAATTTTGGCCGTCTCTGATAACCCATGCCCCCGATTAAAAGCTGCCTGATTCTAAGCTGAACTTGCTCTGCAACTTGATGTTGGGCACTGGCCGTCGATGACACCAGCAACCAATGCAGGCCTGCCAGCATCTGACTGTTGGTTTTCATCCGTGTGTTCAGATTGAAGGTTGACTGGAGCGCTTTCGACAAGCCACTTTCTTGAAACAACTTGTGCTGGGTGGGAGCTGAGCGACAAACCGCCCCATGCCTTGTCAGAGAGTGGGCAGATCTGACAAAATAAGATGCTGAACCTGGAGAGCACCGCACCTAGCCGAAAGGCTACTTGGTAGCATGTGCTTCTGGAGAAGTGGGGCCTCTTTTCCGCGCCTTGCATAGGGTTTCACTTCTCTTGCGGTTGTCTTGTGTTGGTGAATGCCGGCGTGTGCATAGGAAACCCTGAAACCCAGCGGAATCGCTTGGAAGTGTACAGGTACATTACATTCAGGCCAGCTTAAGACCCTTCAAGGAGCGTTGAGTTAGCCCTTGGTTCACCCAAGAGAAGGCAAAAAGCAGCAAGACAGCATGCAGCATGCCATGCCGTCCGCATGTCAGATCGCTCCGACTCTGCCAATCAATTCTGCAGAGCAAAGCTTGGGATGGTTTCGTCAAACTGCAGCTTGGGCTCAAGCACAGGAGCACAGGCAGAGCCTCGCGAAAAAGCGGAGCGGGGCTGAGAAAATGGTGCTTCCAACGGAGGATCATGGACTTGCCCTCAGCATGGCCAAGGCTGAAGGCTGAAGGCCGAAGGTCATAAAACGGTGCAACACCAGATCCCAAGGAGCAGAGATGCCAAGGAGCCATGCTTGACCTGAAGCTCGATTAGACGGGCGAAAGGGAGCGACTCAAGCAGTGCCCCTGTCCACTGCAAAGCTACCTACCCACACTCCCTTCCATCTGCAACTGCAGGTACAGCATCAGCCACCTCAACGAAAGTGGATGGCGTGAGGCCCTTCGAAGAGGCTCGCATCGGAGCAAATCTGTCCCTTGCTCCTGCCTGCAGGATCTCAAGAAGCAGTGTGTGGAGTTCATCCAGAACAAGGGCGTCGAGAAAGTAACTCTCGAAGTGCGGGGCTTCGAAAGGCCATTCAGGAACCTTCTTGCATTTTCTTCCTGTGGTCTTGAAGGACATGATCTCGGATATTGCCCCCAAGGGGAGGGCGGCCATCCCCGAGAAGCTGAAGGTTGAGGTCTTCAACAGACTAAGGCACATGGCCAATTGACAATCTTGGCAAAAGCATCTGCCATAGAAACGATATTTCCCCATTATACTAGAGTAGTTTCTATTTTCTTTTCCATTATCCCCATATTACCCCTAGATAACCCCAATATAAACCCTATAATCCTATACAATTTCATTTTTGCCATGGTGGCAGGACCTTTGCTGAGAAGCAGGGCATGGAGCACTAGCGCTTTACAGCTGTGTCAGGCTGGAACCCGGGAAAGTTGAAAAAGCATCCTCCTAATATTGGGGTTATATTGGGGTTATATAGGGTTATATAAGGGTTATATGGGGGATATATAGGGGATATATTGGGGTTATATAGGGGTTATATAGGGGATACATAGGGGATATATTGGGATCATGGAAAAGAAAATGGAAACTACTATTTCAGACTAGGCGCACAATAGTCTCACCTGGTGACTGAATTTTTCCTCAATTGCCTGCGAAAAAAGGGAGGCGTTGTGGTGAAAGTGTGTATTTATGTTCCTCGCAGTTGTCATTTGCTTTGCAGTCGAAATGAGCCTTCAGAGTCATAGAAGTCCAGAATAAAGGCCAAAACAACTAACATGACGGGAGCAAGCAATACAGCTGACCAAATGCAATGGCGCAAGTTCCGGAAGAGTGGGATGCACCAAGGCCATCTGCTATTGCCTTCATGTTCAAGTTGCTGCTTCGACAGCCTTTTGGCCCTCATTTTCAGATCTCTAGCGAAGAAAGAAGACTCATTATGTGAAGCTTGTATCCTTGTGCTGGCCTGCGTACAAAGGCAGGGAGGTTTGTGTTGCGGTGCATTTGACGGTCCCTAAAACTTTCTGGAAGTACGTGGATATGAGACAGGCGGCAGCTGTCAAAAGTTGAGGTGTCTACCTTTGGCGTTCAGCCATTGTGGCGAGGGCTCCCAGCAAAAGAACCGACATTGTGGTTGACACGCTCTGTTGCCATGATGCTTCCGTAGCCATGGACATTGGCGACGCGGTCGAGGTCAGTCCCGCATGGATTCTGCAGTTCGAAGTATTTGCCTTGGGACAGCTTGAATTTCATTGCAA